CTTACTTTTCAGTTTTATGCAAACTGTGACACTCGGCGGATAAATAAAGATAATAGTCTTGTGTTTGGATGATAAATATATTTGTGGCATCTGTAGGAGTGAAATCTCTGAATGAACAGTGCATGCTCGACCAGCTGAGTTAAATGCCCAAGTCGAAATCACTATTCTTTTCATATTCTGTTCACCCAGTCAACCTACAGAGCCATAAATTCCTCCGATTGGCTTGTAAGCAATACACCCTAGCAGGTGTGGTTGCAACGCTCGGCTGGTGGAAACGTGCTCTGTTCAAAAGCGTGAACGGCCTCCAAACGAGAGCTTCAATCTCACTGGGGGTCACTCACCTCTTTTATAATGGGAGTTTAAGACCATTGTTCTCATTCACCTTTCACTTGTTTTTTGATTACGTCGGATTGATATGCTTCTGTACTGATTGACGACGATGCGTTAGAGGCAAAAGGTTAATTTACCAAGACGATAAGGGTTTTTTCACAATTTGGTGGTGAATAAAATGGTAGAATCAATTTGCTGTTTCTGGCTCTGGGAATCATAAAGAGGCCGGTTTGAACCTTGGTCACTTCTGATAGTACCACTGGTAGAACAAATTTAAGTTCCAACCAGACATGATCACTCATCTCATATGCTTGATTTTTTCAATTTTTGCAAATAATCACCGAATCTTTCATGATAGAAAAAGATGAGAGTAATGTATGTCACTGAAAAAAACCTATTACGTCATCATGAGGAAAACATGTCCAATAGAAAGGTAGTAAAAAATTGGGCGGATAGCTATGAAATATGCTCTAACTGTGAGGACCAGAGGTAATCCTAACTTACGGTACAGATAATTTTTCAAATTACGGCATGACTGACATCCCATAGTGAATGTTCCAAAAGGAACCATTATAATTGATGTTGAATGAAAAGTTATGGCGAATCTTTGTTTGGATTTGACTGTTCCCTATCAATCAGTGCGTTTGCGATATTTCGAATAGAATTTTCTGTAGAGGTGTGAAGCTAGACCGAACTCCTGGACTGTTGGGATCGGTCTATCGTATACTTGTTGTTGTTGTTGTTGTTGTTGGTGGTGGTGGTGGTGTGTTCTCCGACCTGCGAGTATTGTCCGTAGAGGTTTCGTAGCCAGACTAACCAACATCATCGTCTGCGAACAACACTCTCAGCTCGGAGAACACCCCCCCCTCACCACCATCATCATCCCCATCCCGAGATACAATCATTCCACATTACTAGACTACCCTTCCCAAACTATTTACCTGCATGCTTAATACTTTATATATATATATATGTTTATATACTTTGTACTTTATACCTGTATAGTTTACATCTTATAGTTCATTCAGTATTCAATATGATGGATGTGTTGTTTGTAAAATTGCCAAACCGTCGTATTCTGATTCGCTTTAGTAGCTTTACACGCAAGTGGATTTTACTTCTTTTTAGCGTATGGAAAACAAAATAATCAATTTTTAAAGAGGAGTGCATCCTATTAAAACCCTTCTAGGATACAGTGGCAGCCATATGGTGTGAATACGTGATCTTTAAGCTGATGTGATCCGGTCTCATCAGCAATGCGAATCCATTGACCCAATTGGGGATCGAACCCGGGACCTCACAGGCAGGACGTAAGCATACTACCAACTCGTCCGCCTGATTCTATCCTAACTGCAGAACAAATAAACAATGTCATTGGTATTGGTTTGAGCTGGTGTCAAAACAGGCATTATTGAACTCAGGAATGTACGAATTCCACGTTATTTGGAAAGCAGTTTATACTCACCAACGATCCAACAATGACTCATTTAGTTATCAGAAAATATAAATGTTTCGTTCTTACTTTTATCCCAACGATTAAGTTAGTCAGTTACTTTGTTGATTGCGATATAGGTTCTGACAACGTGAAAATAACGGTGTCATCAAATCCGATTAGGAAATTCTCTATGCTAATGAAAAATAGTGCAACTATTATTTTGTCATTTTTGTGCCTAAACTCTTCACATTGGTTCATTCCGGGGATAAGTGGAATCTCGGGAACGGAGTATCGGTTGTTTGAGGGTTGCAAGCATGTATATTCAACATGGAGCAGTGATTAGGGGTCAGTCACGAGACCTGTCAATACAAATAGAAACTGGTTGCTCATGTAAGGGGGCCATTCTCTTTAGCTGTCGGATATTTACTGAGAACTGTGGTCTTTTTCATATTTTAAAAGAACCGTGTCTACGTATATGCACATTTACGCACCGAAATTTGGGGAGTACCCATGAGTCTTAAATCACATGGTACGATTATTCGTTTGACTGCATTTATTCATCATCCCGTATGACTCATATCACCGCTGACTGTTTCGTTGATCTGTTCGGACAATTTTCTGTGATTTGCCCAATTTACAGTTCTTTCAAATGAGATGTATCTTTCCGATCAAAAGTTTGGAATTGGCATCCCAAACTTGTGTGATCCGCTCAACTAACATCCTTGCTGCTTACATTGGTTTCAAGACCTGGAACGATCTTCATACTCACTGTTACAATAACAGATTCCTTGTTATTACATCCGGTATATCTTCTCGATCGTGTGCGTTTATGGTCACCATATTAGAAAAGGAATAAGAGAATTCTTTAATATCCAGTTGCATCTAATTGGGTCGCACACAGAGTCAGATAGGAAATTGGTTTTGTGAGAGAAATAAAGAAAGCGGAAAGGAGATTTGTGATTGAATGACAATGTACATGATATGTTTGCGATAACTAACCTCTGTTTTCTCTTTCGTAAAAGAAGTCACTGTTTTTGGATTCCTCCTAATGGGTTCAAGTAATTTGAAGGCGATTGATTAATCGAAAAATTGGGTGAACTCATGCTATCTTCAGTTAAGTTTTAAGTTATGAAGCATGTACATCACCAAGTTATTCATCATTTGCGCTGCACCATGGTCGGTGAGTTTTGCTTTGAATACCATTAATAATATCAAAAACAACTCAAATGGTCCATATTATTCACAACTCAATTAATTACTTGAAATTACAGGACGTTGATTTTGATTATCTCGTAAAAAATGCCGTGGCACAAGTTACTTCGATGGAGCTCGGGATGGCTTATAAACAATATATACAGCCGAGGGCACTGAGAAAAGTTGCAAAAGGACCAGTCGACAAGTGTTTTCCCACTCCGATTAGGCATGTTGCAGATTTTCGGGATTCTGTACGGTTTCTAAAGGTGCTTTCAAAGAGATTGAAACGAAAAGTGGCAAATCGGACACGGGTAAATGAGAGCCATTCCAAAACCTCATTACCAGGTAAGTCATTTTCATCACACTTTCTCTCCTATCGGTAATTGCAACAGCTGTATAAGAGTATTAGAGGATTTCATTCATTTTTATAAAGGGATTCATCGTGTATATAGCAAATGAAGCGTGAACTGAAAAGCCAGGAAGCACTAAACAGCTGTTTCGACCTGGTTGGATCTCATCAGCAGCGCGAATCCATCGATCAAACTGGAGATCGAACACGGGACCTCACAGGCGTACAGTTAGCATGCTACCCACTCGACCACGGGCAGCTGATCAGACTGTTTTTCATTTTCCATTTACACGATATAGCACAACTCATCTTTGCGAGCTAGTTGTGGGCTTCGCGTTTTGCTCATCTCACCACTGGCCTCCATGGTTATGACTCGGTTGGAAACACGTGGAAACACGTGGTGACTGCTTTTCTGGTCAGCTGCCAGGTGCCCGAATGGGTGGCACGCTTAATTTCTGCCTGTAAGGTCCCGTGTTCGATCCCCAGTCGAGTCGATCGATTCGCACTGCTGATAAGACCCAACCAGGTCAAAACAATTGTCCAATGCTCCCGAAGTTTTAAGTTCACGATTCATTTGCTCCACACATGACAAGATCCTTTATGCAATTGCAACAGCCCTATCACACTCACGGGTTAATGTTGCAATAATATCTGAATCAAAAAATGAATGCATCTGTAATAGTGGGCTATACACTTTCCATTACAAATTCCTGGTATCCGCACGATCTGCGTGAAGACAAATGATTCAGAGTATCTCTTGTTGCAAAAATGGATGCATCTGTGTGTTTGTCCAATGTGTCCATTATCAGTAAAATAACGTCCAATTGATTCAAACCCGTTTGTTTTACTGCTCTCAGCTCTGAGTTCAGAGGGAGGGGAGGAGGGTTGACAGAGCAGTCAGCTTAATAAACAGAGAACAGAGCGTTGAAAGGTTTTCATTTGACCTTTATTTTTCTTAGAAACTTAAACCAAGAGTTTTCACACTAGTGCACTTTCATAGTAGGTAATTAGATTGCTTAGCCTTTCCTACTGAAATTCGAGAATAAAATTGGACAATAATTCTACTGGTTTAGCAGATAACTGATAAGCACAAGAAATAGGTATTGATAGTGTCATTTATTTTGGGGAGTCCTCTTTTCCAAAATTCAAATAAAAAAAGCTTTCCATAGATGGTTCACTCACGGTGGGAGACATGGACAACATGGATCGACTGACTCAAAAACGGGTAAACCCATCAGTGGCACTCGTCTGACTATTNTGAGGGGGGGGGATTCATCAGTGCGACGAAAAATCATCAGTGCCCATTTTTGATCGTTTTCATCGCCACAAACGCACTTCGGCTGGGTTCCCAAAAATAGCTTTTTGAGGTCAGGCGTAAACAGCCCCAAACGTTAAGCCTTAGATATACAAATTTAATTTGATGTACAATGAAAAACAACAGTATTGAAGCTCTCATTAGCGGTTCCAACCTCGATAGCCAATATTCATTTTCGGTTCTCTGGCTCAAGTGTTCGAATGAGTGATTTTATACACATCATNTGATTTATTTCATGTGAAACATTCGTTGCTCATTCCGATACTACACTTGTATGCATGCTATTGGACAAGTCTTCATACAAGAGATATTAATGTTTTCCGGCTCATCGTGATTTCATCATTTGGATGTTCAATTCAATTTACTGTTCATGTCATATGGTGAGCACTTACGACAAACTTGTAAGTACGTCACCACCACCGAGTATTTAACGTAATCCGCTCAAATTACATTAGAGTGTAATTGGTATCTTGCAGTTTCATTGTACACTCTCCTTTCTATCTACAACTCTCTGAAATTTTCAGGTACATGGGTTGAATGCTGCTTCTGCATGAAATGGCGTTATTTACCCGATGTCCATGATCCAAGTGAAATTTGCTCCAACTGGCATTGTGCATTGCAGTTGACTCATCCGAATAAGTCGGTCGTGGATGTGGATCAAACAGACTCGGTTGAAGTCGCATGTACTGTGCCTCAGGGGCCGACTCCGGATGCCATAAAGGACGAGTTTATCTACACACAATTCTCTGTGGGCTCGGTTGTGTGGGCCAAAATTCAAGGTGAGTTTTCTGGGGTTGTTCCATCAATTTATGTGATCGATTTTTACGCTTGCAATATCCAAGTTCATGGTTATCCCTCCTCTCTGTTGAAGTGTTACGCAATCGCATTTTCTACAGGTGACACTCAAACTCTTTCAGTGTCAATTTGAATGAGCTCTATTGTGTTTTAAGCCCAATGGTTCCGATGGTATCTACATAATGCTAGTCATTTTTTTGAGAAAACACTGTACAGAACTCTCATGGGATTGTAGCACTTAATATTCAGTTAACAACACGTGGGTTCTATTGAAGTTTTCTGAGTTACGCTGATTTACCGAATAAAATTTGCAAATTTACTTGTGTCAAGACTGATCAATTATTTACTGTTATTGTTTATTCAAATATGGGTTAACCCTGTGTTCTGTGTCACTTTGGAGTTGCCATATAATATTTATGGTTGATTATAGGAATTTTCTTCTTCTCATACGTTAACTTTGATTATTCCTCAGTGAACCCCGTCGCTAATGAGTCTTCACTCATTAAAACTCAACACAGTTTCCAGTGCAGGGAATAAATAAACGTTACGTTAGTTTTACATATTTCTCTTGGTACGAACTCTGTCAAAACAAAGCTGGATGCCAGGATCTTTCTGGCGGAGGAATCACTTCTTGGCTTGATCGCGGGCGGGCTGCTGACTGATTGCCAAAACTAAACTGTAGGGAGCTTATGCGCCACTGTTTAAAAGGTTTGAAATCAGCGCTGTCCCACTATTCTTGATTTATCAAACCAGCTTTAACCCATGTTGTTAACTTCCTGGTCCCTTAAGTTGCTGATATCACCTTTATTATGGGTAGAACAAGAACAGAATTTCCTCAGGAGATGTCCTGGAGAAACACTGCGCTAAGGCATTTCAACAGCTGAAAATGAGTGCCTGGTTTATTTTTGATGCAAGCTAGATGNCGATAAATGAGTCAAATGAAAAAAATGAAAGCATGATATTTCTGCATCGCCACACATGATTGTGATTCCAGTGTTCGTTTCTTTCCAATCACGAAGCATCCGGGAAAATATGTGGAAGACTGACAATGGAAAGATTCGCCGGACGGTAACAAATTCATTTCTGCATCCAATGTCATAAGTCACATTTAACTCACAGTTATTTGGGAGCAAGGGGTGGGATAATTGATAATGATTTATACTGACGATCCTTCAAATTTCACTTTCACTCAAAACCCTCAGTTCTCCCATGCACTCAGAAGCACTAGAGTTTTGCTCTTATTAAAGCTCATAAGTAGTGGGAGGCTTACGATTATATTTATCAGGCATTCAACTGTCCCCCTTCGTTATCGTCGGGCCAAAATGAACTGACAAACTATCACTAAGGATGACACCTGAACAAACAAGAATCGGCAATTCGGTTTAGCCTTCGAATGAGTTTGTTAGCACATTGGTAGCACACGCTTTCCGTGCGATAAGTTCGAAGTTCAAATCATGAACGAGAAGTTCGACATGCACTACTGATGAGCTATAATAAGAGAGAAACTCGAGTCTAGTGCTTCTGACTGCGTGGTTGCTTGGGAGAACTGAGATGAAGTTTGAAGGATGATCAGTTCAAATCAATGTTATAGCATTGATTTTGCAACCATTTACCCAATTTCTTTTCCATCAAGTTTTCGCAGTATGCAGTGTATCTGAGTCAACCGTCATGTTTGGATTACCCCATGGACTTAACGATTCAATTATTTCGCCGACAAAGAAAAGTCCCTAATGTCAACTTTCTCCTGGGAGGTGTAATAAACCTTGGTTCATTGGACAACGGTTTCGCACTCTTGCGAAATTTTCATTATTCTCAGGCATTGCCTACTCGTTAGAAGCTTCAGGTGTCCCGGAGATCGTGATGAAGGTCGATCACATGTTCCCGGTATTTGTAGCTTCCATAAAATGAGCAACAACAAGCTTGTTTTGTGATACCAGTAACACACTCTATACGAATAAGGTTGACGAGCGTTATGTTTTACGTGTAGTAAACTCCAGTTATGTATTGCTCAACGTTTCGGCCACCTCGGTCGGTCTTCGTCTCAGGATTATGAGAATCGGTAAGTAATCAGAATCAATATGGCAAGCGAAACAAAGGCCAATACAGGTCATTGTGAAAAGGTAACATGTCACCGGATGGTTTGTCTGTTGGTGTAGGTGTGATGTGTAATTGGGAGCGCGCCTAGGATCGATTTTTGCTGGGCGCCCGTCTGCATTCAGTAGGCTTGGCAAGGTTTGACTATCGTTCTTGGTTTGCTATAGTGGCAGTCTGTTGAATAGGTAGGTGTGTTGCATTCTTTTAGCAACTATCCAGTTTTGTCAGTTACTCGGGATTCATAAGCAATAGCTTTGCTGGTGTAAATTACTTTTCCAATCCGTATTCCATTTATAGAATCGGTTATCGGATGTTTTCTGGAGCTGATTGTCTATTCCATTGTGGCTTTCCATTTCACCATTGTGTCGCAGGTTATCCGGCTTGGCCAGCAATGATCTATTACAATCAACACGGTCAGTATGCGGAGTACGATCAAGTCAGTCGGGAGGTGACACATTATCATGTGGTGTTTCTCGATCCGACTCGATCGACCGTCAGTCGTGTGAATGTGAACCGAGTGCGCAAGTTTCACTCAGTTGAAGAATTGAAACACAAACGAGGTGTAGGTTGGACTTTTCTCGTATTGACCAGGTGATCAAATGATTTGGCCGGTCATATACGCTTCGCTTCAGTGTGTTGATTTGAGCTCGTTCAAGTATCCATTGAGCGCGATGTGGTGGTGTACTCATATTGCACGCTGATACGTATACTGAAGTTGTTTCGTTCTACCTAGACGTGCAACCGACATAAACGACTCTTCTTTAGCTCCCACCGAGAGACAGCACCACTGGAGAACACAGTCACAGTGGATTCTACGTTCATGGTGCGATACACAAATATAAGTGGGTAAATTGGGCGTACGGGAACGACGCACCAATGAGGTCACGCCCATGACACCCGATTGGTGGATTGGACGATGGGTGTCTGATTCGCCTTAGTCATTCAATCCGGAATCGATTCGCCTTTGGGCGCCTGGAACGCACTTGTGGTGTGACGTGGATCCATGCGCGGCTTGACGGGTTCTGTGAGCTCTGCCCTATCAGAAGTGTCTGTGATGCATTGTACCTCGGTCATTAGCTTGATGAGGGAAGACCGTCCGCAGTGACAACATCACGGCGGATAAGGAGGAGGAGGGGGGGGAGGGGTTCCGATTGTTATTCTGATACATCTAGAAAATACCGGCCCCCACACAACCGTAATATTATGTGTTGTCGATGTAGAGAAACTCCTGACCATTTAAGCTATGCCCTCCACTTCCCACACTCCTCCTCCCACACCAAATCCACACTGTGTCACATCGGAAATCAGGGGACACTCCTGACCTAATAACCTTATATTGGTTATCGTGTATCCACACGATGACGCCTTGCTAGTCTGCTCTTATTCTATCTCCCTCCCACACGCAAACAAACAATTCCGTTGTATGGTAAATTTCGTCGTGTACAGAGCCAGCGAAGTGTGAACTGAACGCAGGCATAGTACCCACTTGATTCCGTTGTGAGTTGAGTTTCAAATGTCATAAATTGTACGAAGAATTTACGAAATTCCGAAAAGAATGATTTTTAAAATCTGTTCACCTCCGCCACACAGGAATGATGAGAAGATTGATAAAAGAAATCGTTGATTGTGTGACTGTGAGCATATTCCAAAAGTTAGTTCTTTATATTCTAAACTAAAGGATACGTTTTCTTAGGAATTGAATTTTACAGCTATCGGAAACAATATCGTGCTTCCAATGATGCGCACTGCAGACAAGCGGAAAACCTACGTGTTTGCCATATACTTTGATATTTCTAAACCTAGTTTTAAGCGGTCCGCGCGAGTGACATTGCCACTAATGGAAAGGCGATGAGGCAAAACGTTGCCATAGGAGTTCTTCACTTAGGCGACCTATAACCCGAATGAACCAATGGAATCGCGTTCCAGGTTGAAGCTATAACGATTGTCTAGAGGTGCTCTGATGTCCTATTAGAGTCTTGTTATATCAAGTTTCAAGTTGATCAACGTTAGCCGTATATTACAGAGACCTATATATTCCACCCGCATCAGCCACGTTCCAGTTCGCCAGACCTCGGTGAACATGGACGTTGGCCAACAGAAACCTGACTCGGTGAGCATACGCGGTCGATAATTATTTGGTGAATTTAGTCTTGCAAACGAAGGGGGAGATGAAAATATAGGAAGCACTGGACAGTTGTCTCAACCTGGATGGGTCACATTAGCAGCGCTAATCCATCGTCCCAACTGAGAATCGAACGCGGGACCTCACAGGTAGAATGCAAGCATACTACCCATTTGGGCACCCAGCCGCTGATCAGACCGTTTTTCATTTTCCGAAATTCACTATTTATTCGAATCAAATCTTCCATCAAGATCAAGAAATTCTTAATTAGTTAGTTAAAGTAGTTGTGCAATACCTTTTTGGCTTTTCACTTTTCTCGTTGATCAATTGCCATATCAACAGAACAGCCATCTCCCAGATACGATTGCCATACACAAAACTTGG